AATTCAGAATACAGATTTACATGAAGTTATACTAAATAGTATTAACTCATCACAATCCTGATAAACGACTAAAGTATCAAATTTTATCCTGTCCCGGATAAATAAAACTTATTATTATAATTTGTGAGGGTTAATCAGAGGGAGAAAGGCTTTTGTAATTTACAATGAAGGTCAAATTTCTTATAAACACTCCTCTTTTTAGGTCATGTCGTGACACGACATCATTCTGTTCTGTAATAGAATGGCTACACTTGGACATTGCATTGTACGAAACTTCCATTCCTTCTCTGGAATAATCCTAAGAGAGATTCAACTGCCTTTGTTAGTTTTTGATTAATCAATTGGGTGAAACAATTGCCCTAGTGTTTTCAGGCAGCCAACCAGCTTCGAACTTTAACTTTCAGCTTAACTGAAATCAGAGCAAAATTTATGTGTCTAACTGGAGAAAAGGTCAAGATTAAAACTTACCCAAGCTTATTGTTTTTGCATTAAATATGGGGTTTTACATCCAAACATAATCAGCTTTCCAAATAGTTCAATGTCATTTAGAAACAAATGATTCATTTCAAAATGTATGTCACATCCTTGGCCAAAATAAACAAATTTTACAGTATTTAGATACTTGATTTTATTTTATGTGTTATGTGTTAACTCTGGCTGTGTTTCCATGCCCCTAATCTTATTCTGTGAACTAGCTATTGACATTCCCCGGACCAAAGCTGTTTTGGAAGTAAACTCACCTTAACTTTATCTCAAAGCAATGAAAGCAGGGGTTTAAAATAGAGTAATAGTTTGCCAAGAGCAAATCCTCAATATGAGAGAAGACCTGGAATTTTATTGATGAATTCTAGCTGTTTAAAGCTCCTGAAAGAGGCACAGATAATCTTCACGCTACACCAGAGGTCCCCAACCTTTTGGGCACTAGGGACTGGTTCCATGGAGAAAGGTTTTTTCACGGACCGGAAAGTGTGTGGTTTTGTATGCTGCCTGCATCCCATGGATTGGGCTTTGCTTGTTTGTGTGGACCGGTTGCTGGCATGCTGTGGCCTGGTACTGGTCTGTGGACCGGGGGTTGGGGACCCCTGCACTACACAGAAAAATGTCTTTGAAGCATTCACCAAGTCAAGCAATACTATGATCTCTAAAGGAGTTTCCCTTGACAAACCCCAACCCACCAATAAGCATGTAAACTTTAGCTAGTCAAGCATCTATGTGTTGATTGATAAGAGGAATTTAAATTGAAATTTGACTGTGGCAGGGAGGCAAGGGCAAAGGAATGCGTTTTGGGTAAAGAACTTATGCTTTGGAAAACACTGTATGCTTCCATATTTGTAGAGAAAGTTGCTTGATGAACTCTTCAGCTCTCACTAGTCTCAGGTGAAGTGAAAGGAAAGAAAGAAGTGCTAATTAAGTCTATACGTTGTCAGAAATCTTGGGAAA